ACACACACACACACACACACACACCGAGGTCATCGCAATATGCGTTTTCGCATTTGCATATACGCAAAAATGCATAAAAAGCCAAGAAATTAAAATTGTTTCTAGACGGGCTCCCCAGAGAAGGATATGAAGCATTGACAGAGGAAGAAAGGGATGATTTCGACAAAGCAGTAAATCGTTTAAAAGAAATGTTCGAATCTCCAAAGATGCACAATATGGCCAGACAGAAACTGATGAACTGTAAGTAGAAGGAAGGAGAAAGCGTAACCACATATGCAGAACGCATTAGAAGAGCGATTAGACCAGCTATGGTAGAAGTGAGTGAGCAAACCTTTAAGGACACGCTCATAAACCATTTCATTGTCGGCCTTGGCAAAAAAAGTAAAGTTCTTTGTGCAGGATGTGGAACCCACCCCGTTTGGGCAAGCTTTTCTTAAAGCTCAGCATGTAGAAGGTATGGTTACAATAGCAGATGCAGAAGCTTCTATTAACGCAGTAACTACGTCAGACGCACATAGACGCGTGAAAGACTTTGAGAATATAATTACAAAGGGTTTAGAAATAGCTATCAACGAATTGGTGCAAATGAGAAAGGAACTTAGGCAAGTAGCAGACAATAACCGGAATACTGTACCGAAGTATGGAGGGTCACAGCAAGGTGTGAACTGTCGGCCTTCCAGAAATGAGTTTTATGACTGTAGCGTAGTCAGAGAGGGGCATCGGTTTGAAAGACACTATGATAGAAGGCCATATTGCATATACTGTAAAAAAGTTAAACATCTGGCCTATAACCACCGCCAACTTCCAAACATAAATTACGGGCAATCTGCAAACACAGGCTGCTGGTCGGGTGAGAATATGGGTTACCAGCGCTTGCAAAATACTAATTATCAGCAACCTTGTAGTTACAATCGCAGTGGTCCACCAAGGCAGCAAGAAAGACCTAATTTTGGCAACTTTTTGGCCAAAGGTAAACTAATTGGTTGGGCTGTCAATAGCAGTGGAGGGCAAGAAACGTACTCTCGGGAAGCTCATCCACTCGTCAACACTGTAAGCAAGGATCAAAATGATGATAGAAGAGTATTGCTGGACCCAGAGTTGCCAACGCTGCGATTCAGTGTACGCCGGAGGAAGATTGGTCACCACAGATTAACCCCACTGATAAGAGAGACGTCCAACGCATACTCGGTAGCAGCAGGCAAGCATGTAGATGGACCCCAGAGTTTGAATGTATGACGCTAGAGGGGCCACCCTCGAATCTCCTTCAAGAGGTTAAGACAAAACTCGAGGAAAAGTTAGAGATTCCATC